ATATTGATATTGTCATCTTTGCAATCTGAGACTCATTACTGGGAGCCTTAATGGTGGCTTGAACACTCAGTCACATAGTAACAGACATGAGGTCCTTTCCTAGTGTTAAACATGCATCCAAAGAGCATTCCCCACTCCCCTATTTTTTTGGCACCTCAGCTATGACCCGGAGTGACTATGTCTGGCCATGGAAGGTTACAGCATTTTTCACCTGACCTTGCTATTGATCCTGTGAGAAAAAGCAGTAATGAGTGCAGAAGTGTATGCATGCAAGCACAGAGCTATGTGGTAGCAGCTTTGTCTGTGAGAAGTGTACTGGCTTTCTCCTTCTAGTAAAAAAGCACGTTATTAAAAGTTCAAGCAGATGTGGTTTCTTTCTCTTCTGTTTCATCTGCTCTGGATAATCATCAGTCTGGTGTTCTTGGAAGCATGACTCATCTAAAATCAGTATCCAACAACTTTGCCTTCTCTGCATCAAACTCACTTTACCAATATCATGTTCTATCTGTTGCTTAAAAAATGAAACTACAAAGCTTTTATAGCAATGCTTTTGCTGCGCTACTAGACTAAGAGGAAAATGAGGTTATGCAGAACAGCACCTGCATATGTCCCCAAACCAAAAATAGAAGAGAGAATCCAATTCCCACACACCTCCATGCCTACTAGACAGAAAACATGAATAGTTATGGCCTGAGTTGTATTTTTAGAGGATGCTATGAGAAAGGAGTAGCTGGTTTTACTGGTTTTTGAGAAGAAGTGGTAGAAGCTGAATAAATTAAGGGGCAGGTTTTCATCTGAACAAATTTGAATTGTTACCTGGCAGTTTGCAGGAGCAAAATTGTGTTCTCCCCTTCATAGATACAAGAGGCAACTATTTTAGTGTACAAGGAAGGGAGTCCACTCAGCAGAGAGTAACCATGTCCTCCGCATGCCCTGAGGCAGATCTCCACTCCTGCAGTGCAGTACTGACTAAGCATAGCTTTAAAGCCTGAAGAAGATGCATGAAGCTGTTTAAAAAACAAGTAAAAAAAAACAGATTAATGGTGAAAGTGTTCTAAAGCAATCCTCTGAATATGTTCACATGGGGTAAAGTTTTCTTTTCTGATTTTGCACAATTTCTGGGCATGAGATCCTTTGCATGCCAGTGCAACACCCAGTCCCCAAGCATGACTCTTGGTTTCTGACTGGGATGCCACACATGCCCATGCTGGGCATGGTGTGGTTGGCTTACGCATTTTTGGGTTTCTCTCAACCAGCAGTGGCTTTGGCTGCTCTTGTTAGAAGCATGTGTTCAATTTAGGCTTCCAGTTGCAAAATTGTATGTTGTATCTGCAAAGTCACGTTTTTGGTTTTGCCTCTGCATTTTAGATGAAGTTGTGAAATAATCCTTTGCACCACCAGCTACCGGGAACAATGTTTTTATCAAACAAACATGCTTTCCAAGGACACTGCACTCTGCAATAGTTCCCAAAGCCAACAATTTGGGGCGGTAAAGCAAATGCTGTTGCTGACTGGTTGGGGGCCTAGGATAAGGCATTTCATCCTTTACCGCTTCAGCCTTCCCATTATCTAGTGGTGAGAGGAATGCTTGTCCAGTTTGCTAAAGTACTTTGAGACTTAGGGATGAGAAGGGCAATGTTAAGTGCAAAACAGCTGTCGGAGCCAATCTTGCAGCAGCTCACCTCTGGCAGTGAGTTGAAGTTCCTCTCCTGGATCTCTTTGTAGCCCCTGTCAAACAGCTTGTGCAGATAGTTGTTGACGAAATGGAAGGCATAGGCTGCTGCCAACTGAGGCAGCAGTTTCTCTTGCTGGGTCTGGTAGTCAAGGATTTTTGCTTCTTCTTCTCTGTTGGAAGACAGGTGATGAAGTATGGAAAGCATGAACATGCACAGCCACTGTTAGTTCACCTGAATGTTTTTCATTACCAAGAAGCAGTACGTGAGAGGGACTCAGCCATCTGCTTAGTCTCCCTGCTCTCCCCGTCCCTGTGCTGCCAGCTTGCTAAACCGTTAGACAAACAAGCCCAACTAGGAAAAAAGTGATTTTTCTTCTGTGTTGGTGAACCAGACTGTCAGACTGGAAAAGGCTCTGCGTGATCAGTCAGTACAGAGAGGGGGAACAGAGACTGCAGAAGAGGAAGAGGAGGAAGGGCAGCAAGTTGGCAGGTGGTGTAGGCCAGGTGGTGGCACTGCACCCTGAAAAGCTTTTGTTTTTTCAAACTGGATTCTCTGGTTCTGGGTGTAGATAGGAGAATGCCAGCCTCAGCTGATGCTCCTGCGAGGCAGACAGAGGTAACTGTGCCCTGATACTGTTTTCTGTTCAATCTAAAATAGAAGTGACGAGGTTATAATTAAGCTTGTCTTAATAGCTGCACCTATGCTTATTTTTTTGTCAGTTGTTTCAACTTGCTGATTCAAGTAGAAAGCAGAAAATTTTCTTTCAGGTAGAATTACCTTTTGAATGCACAGTTTGATTAAAAACAGTTTCTTCTCTGCTAGGTCAGACTCCTCAGTTTCTTTGAAAGCACTTGAGTGTTAATTATTTTAAGCTTTCTGAGCTTTTTTTTTTTTAATGCTCTTTGTGGCTTCTGCTGCATTTAGAATATTTAGGACTTCAAGTGATGAAATTGGTTGTCATAATGATTCAGCATGCTGTGTTCCTGTGTTTGGTTTGCATTTGAAACAAACCATGTTCTCATTAGGAGATTTAAGAGAAAATGTTTGAAATCTACTCAAACGAAAATACCTATTTAAAAATTACAGGGATTTTTACCAGACTAAGAACATTCACTGTTGCAAAATGTGGGTATTGGAACTGTTGATGTTGGATACTATTTTAATGTTGCATCCATTAGTGGGGTGGTATAGAATAGGAATTCAGAAACTTGTCTGTTTTGTCTGGATTCTGCTGAGTTATTGGGAAGCCAGTTGAGAAAAATAGGTTGCCTGTGTGAATTGCTGAGCTATTCAAACTATGAAACTTATCTCAGAAAAATCTGTAAACATATTCTTTTGTCCTTTGACTGAAGCTTATTAATGTAAATATCAGGAGAGCATGTTTGTAATATTCTTCCTGTCTGGGACAGGAAATAAGCCAATGAAAGCTGAAAAGTAGAAATACAGAGTGGTGTGGTAGAACATGCTGTCAGGTCCCCTTCCCACCGCTGCAGGCTTGCATGGCATTACCCAGGATTTAACTTGGACTGCCGGCGAACTGCAGAGTATCTGATGGCAATGGTGCAAGCTTTCATCAGAGGTAGAATAACTTCATCTGAAAGGAGGGAAACACGTACTGTAGTCATAGTGAAATAATTAATCTTCTGTGACCCACGTCTTATATAGGTGCCATCTGGCTGAACCTAGAACAGAGAGAGCATTTTAGATGTCTTCTTTGATACTGCAACTTCTCCCTACAAGGGATGGTTGTGTAAGTTCTGCGTGTAGAATAAAATGAACACTGAAATATTTCACTGAGAGCAGAACTAAATATTTCCATGTGTGATGGGGGAAACCTGTCTGTTTGAAGAGACACATTCTTACTGCTTTTGAGTTGGATATCTTCCGCCAACCCCTAGCCTTTGAATGTGGAATTCCTGTTGCAGATTTTCACTTCGGATTCAGATAACTTCTACCCTTGATAAAACTTCAGAGACTTGCATACACCTCAAAGGGAGACTTTTGTACTAAATTTAGGCAGGTCGCTGTCGTCTCTCTGGCTGTGTGATGAGAGTCTGATTGGTGAGTCTGTGATTTGAATGCCGTACATACCTCACAAAACTTGTTCAGCATGTTCTCTCTGGGGATGCGCACATTCTGCAGCATGAGGTAGCCATTGTCAATGTGCTCAAAATTCATTTTGGGACCAATGTCTCCTGCAGTTATGCCTGAAGCATAAGAAAACAGCCAGTTTATTTCCACTTGAACTTTTTTTCTTTTTATTTTCTCAAGTTTGCAGCAGGCTAGGGATCCCAAAGGAAGGGCATGTTCAGTTTTCCTTCCTCCTCAACATGGTTGATCTTGCCTGAGGGATGCAACAGGCATTTGAGTGCTTTGTAGTAGCTTGTTTCCATAATCCTGCTATGGTGCTGGCTGGGGTCAGAACTGAGGTGTTAATGCAGAAGTGGTCAAAGCCACCCAGGATTCTGGTTAAGAACAGGGCTCTGCATTTGCCTAGGGATGCAATAAATCTTCCTTTAGATAAAAAGGCTGTGGTTTGGCAACTATAGCCATCTCTGCTCGCTCTCACTGAACCGAGTGTTTTAGAAAGCATTTATGGACAAAACAGGCAGAGCACCTGCAGAAGTGCTACAGTGTGTGGCAGTGTTTACCTGGGCACAGTGAATGGTCCTGAAGGCTGCGTATCTGCACGATGAAGGGATGCACGCCGTAGCATTTCCCACGCACGTAGAGCTGAGCAAAGACCACTGTATGGGTTGCTGACCTTCCCACTGTGAGGAGAAAAACAGCCACATTGCCTTGAGACAAGGCATGGTAAAAACACTTTCACAGTTCACAGCAGTCAATGCTAATTGTGCACTGGGTGTTGCCCAATGTCACACCCACCCCTGGCGTGGGTCAGGGTGGGTGTGATCCACAGGTGCTGGAAGCTGGAGAATGCCTAAATCTGCATTCTGAGCTGCTCTTGGCTCACAGAAGTCACATAATGAAGCCTGGATGACGAGTCTGCATCACCAGATGGGGAAAAAATAACAAAAGTTCACGCATTACTGAGGGAATGGGAAGTGCTGTCTGTGTCTGTTCTGAGTAACTCCAGTTGTTACTGGAGACGCTGGGTTTGTATGGGGAGTGTTGCTGTCAGACCCCGGGGCACTGCAGGTGTGGTGCTGCAAGGGAAGAATGGGAAGTACAAAATGATGGTGGTGCTCTGCACCTGTGTACTTCCCCAATGTTAGGGAACAAAGGGAAAAAAAAACAACAACTATATGGTGAAAATAAAAAGGCAATGCTCAAGCTGTTATACAAGTCCTCCTGCAAAGGAGAGAAATGTATCTCAGTGTTCCTCCAGTTACCATGATGTGCTCTGTTCCCTTGTGCAGGGGTGCCTGGGGTGCACATCGTGCTCCTTCGTTTGGGAGGTCTGGGAGACCTGCCCTCCCAGGGCTGCAGGGAGCTTGTCTCAGTTGTGCCCAGTTGGTGCTGACCAAGTCATCAGACACAGCAGGTAAGTGTTTGATGCAGCTATTAACGATTGTCTGATTTATTTTATTTCCTGTGAAATACCTTCCTAAGGGAGCCAGTATTTTCACTCTTGAATTCTTCATGCTGAGCCTGCCTGTTCTTAAGGATTATCTGCCCACAGCTTTTGGTTGTCTGAGTTTTATTTACAGAGAAGAGGAGATTGATTCTTGCAGAAGCAGGCATTTTCAAGGGCTTTAATAGATAATGGCGGCTTCTTTCTGGCCTTTAAACTTGTATAAAGCCCTTACATCTCTTACTTGCCTCTAGATGTTTGCATCTCTTATTGAAGTCCTCTGCTGGCACCTGGGCCCTCAAACGTGGAGCTTAAGCAATACAGGCTGAGGAACTGGAGGAAGCAAATGAGGAAAACCAAACTATTGTGTAGTACTTACTGTCCCCAGGCCACCACTTCATTGCAGAGATCTTTGGTGTGTTCAGTATAAACTCCTGTGTAGTGGTATCAAAGACTGCTGTTGTTTCCAAACCCTGAAGATAAGTTCCTTTAAAAAAAAAAAAAAAAAATCTCCTGGTGCATCACAAGGGTGATTAGAGAGAGGGGAAGCTCCCTGGAAGCTGGTGTATGTATAATCAGGCTTTTGGGGTTTATTCTTCTGGTGAGAATCATGAAATAATTCCCCAGTAGCCCCCCAGCACACCATCTCCTGCAGAGATTTCTTGAGCCAAATTGTACTTGGGCAAGCTGCCTGGCTAGTGGTGACTGTCCCCTCTAGCCAGTGTGACTGCCTGGCATCTAACCATAAGCTTTCACCCTAGCTCTTGTTATTTTTTTCCACAATGGTGAAACCCAAATGAGGCATCTTCAGCTCGCTGAGGAAGCAAAGGTGTCCTTTTTTTCCCCAGCCACCCCCCTTCAGTGACGCACAGACAACTTGAACTCAGCTCCCCTGAGAATCTGAGCCAGGGCCTTTCATCCTACAGAAACACTGTGACCTCCCTGTAGCCTTACCGTGTCCCAGTTCAGTCTGGGCATAGCTTCCTATGAGCTGGTGTTTAGTGGCAAGAGGAATCCATTTGGCAACCTGTTCGTCAGAGCCCAGGACCGAAATACTTCTCATGAAGACACGGTGAAGGAGAAATGCCACGTCTCCTGCAACCGCCCTGGGGAGAAGGCACAAGTGGTGCTTTTACACTGATGAAGTTCCAGGGATGTGATTAATGCGGCACTGACGTGGTGGCAGTCACTAGGCAGTACCACCTGCTGAATTTTGATTTCTGCGTTGTCATACTCAACACAACGTGCAGCATCAGTACAGCATTGCAGGAAAAGTGTTCTTTCAAGCTGGTTTTGTTCCTTCTTTCATAACATACTTTGCTTAAATGTCACTAGCTCATTTTTTTACTTGCTCTTGGAGGAATTAGCTGTTCTGAGTAGCAGATGCTGAGCTCCTAAAACACAAAGCCCAGCTCCATCAGTCCTGTGTCTCTGATAGCTCTGTAAACCCTTCATCTTTTTTTGGCTTCACAGGATTTTTTTTCCTGATTTCAGGATTTTTTTTCCTGATTTTCAGGATTTTTTTTCCTGATTATTGAAATCCCATTCTAAGGCAGAGCTAAAAAAATAAAAATAAATAAAAATAAGCCCCCCCCACCCTAAAGCATGGTAGGCTAAATTACTTCCCATTCTGGAGAAACATCTCAGTGCGTTGGCTTGTTGCCTGTACTCTTCCCTAGATGTTAGCTGTTGGTTACTGTCAGAGACAAAATACCAGGGTTCATGGGGCTTTGGCCTGACTTGATGTGTGTTTTCTTATGGAAAAATGTAAATCCATCCTGTAACACCTGTTTTAGTGTCTGGTCAGGTCCTTTGCCATCTGCCTGGCCGATAGGGCTACATGCATCCTAAAAAGCACCACTGCTGAAGCTGTCTATGGCAACTTGGGCACAGTGATTTCCATGGTGCAAATCAGATACTCATTTGCTTTAAGCTTTTTCTTTTTTGTAAGAAACCCTAAGAAAATAAGGAATACAGAATATGGTTAAATCACCTCACAGATATGAGTACAAGTGCTCTCACACCTAAAAATAAGCGCCTCTGCTGTTCTCATTAGCTTGGCTTTACTGCAGTGCTCTCAGAAGTGTCCTTTTCTAGACAGGTAGCTTTTATTTTTAACAAATGACTGTGAGCTTTCTTTTATACTGGACCTGAGAGAGAATCGGTTGCGTTGAAAAAGTGGGGAAAACTATGAACAAAGAAGTTAAAGGGAAATTGCTTTGATTTACAGAGATAAATTTAATAAACCCCCTGGCAGCCCATCCAGAAATAATGCTACTGTATCTGTGATTTCAAAGCTGACTTTTAAATGTGTGTAAGTGATTCAGCCTGTCCAGCACCAGGACTTTTGTCATTGAGAAGTTATTGCTTGCCTTGTATTTCATAAGAAAAGAGCTGTCCTTCCACGCAGCCTGTGTTCTTAATACAGCAAAATACGATCACACAAGGCTGGCACTGCTGAAGCTCTTGGCATCAGGGGGCCTGATGACAGCAAGCATAGGTAGGACAGACTGTTGAGTTTTCTGAGGTTTTTAAAATTTGGGATATCTTTATTCTGAGAGAGGAGCAAAGAAGTGCTTTTTATTGGGAATGTAATTATCAAGTAAAAGAGCTCTTGATGGGAAATTTCCCATTTACCACTGTAGGAGGCATAGCTTAGAATTATAATCTTTCATATGATGAAATATTGGAAAGTGACTTTGAGCGTCACTGATGATTTGTAAGGTGCAGACATTGCTCTTTTGAAAGAGGCTTTTCAACTTGCCCCTTCTGACTGACAGTGCAACCCCACCAAACTGGCAGCATGCACTGGGCAATAGCAAGCTTACCTCTGCTTAGTAAAGGGGGAGAGAAGGTGGGGCAAACAATTACAAAGTGGCACTCAACTCCATGCAGAAGGTTAAGAAAAAAATGTGAAGCATTTTATTCCATTTACCTACAAAATAAATGGTGTTTCCTTGTTGTTTGTTTTTAATTCAATATGGGTTTTCTAGGTAATGAAAACGTAATGTTAACTTTGTCTGGAAGTCAGTAACAACTGGAACAGTAACACTTAATGGCTGAGGACAATTATGAGAGCTGTGGCACAAGTAAAAACTTGCTGAAGTGAATATATCACGTTGGTGATGTGAACTGCTGTGATCTATCAAGCTGGGTCTGTGTGCTGCTCTTTGAGAAGTTCCCTGATGCGTATAACAATTTTCCCTTTACCCAAGCATGCTGCTGAAGTGAAAACCTGCAGCATGTTTGTATCAAAACCTGATCTGTTGACAGTTGGCCTGTCCCGACCTTTGATCAAGCTGATTCTTGTCGGCAAGCAAACCTTTTAACCAAAAGTTACTTGTACATTTATTAAAAAAAAAAAAAAGAAAAAAAGTCACCTGTAGATATATATAAATTCAGGTCCATCCTCTCTCCATCCCATCTCATGCATCTTTTTTTGGAGGTGAACGGCCTTTCTGACTGCTGCTTCATACCTCTCATTCTGGGTTTGGAAATACTGATTTTCTCTGCTAAATACAGGGTCACGCTCGATCACTTCAACTGTAAAGCAACATGAAGAGTTTATCTGTGAGGGCTGGAGAGCAGCAGGTAGCACCTCAGAGGCCCCCCCATGGAGCCTTGTCCCTGGGGGTTTGGTGGGGTGGCAGAGAGGCACATCTCCTGTGCTTTAGATCCAACTCTTTTACCTCCATATTTGAGCCTGGCTTCAATCCAATACAAAGCTGCCCCTGCTGTTTTCCTGTGCCAGCAGCAGGGCTGTGCTCACTGCACCACAGAGCAGGCGCAGGGTCCCCGCCAGCACCCTAGAGCCCACCAGCGCTCAGCGTGCAGGAGGTGCCTTTCTGACTCAGGTAGAGAACATCATGAATCCATGTGCATGATGTTCTCATGCACATGAAGCATGCAATTCTACTGACCTTGATCCTTTCTCATCTGATCACGGTATAATGTAGGTTTAATTATCCCTGGAGGTGGAGGTGTTCAAGACCAGGTCAGATGAGACCCTGAGCAACCTGATCTAGTGGGTGGCATCCCTGCCTATGGCAGGGAGGTTGGCACAGGATGATCTTTAAGGTCGCTTCCAACCTGACCCATTCTTTGATAATTACAGAGACAAAAGCAAACAGCACCCCTGGCGCACGCCAGGTATGCCACCTGCACAAGGAAATCCCTATTGATACAAGCCTCTTGCTGGGAAGGGTCATCCAGCTGCGATCACAGCGTGATGTGTGTCGCTGTGAAGCACCCCTAGCCCCAGTGCTGGGGCAGATGCCCACCTACATGACTCTCGGTCACTGTATCCCAGTTTAACCTGCCTTGGCAGAGAGTTTGGGAATGAGAACGGGGATGGGGAAAGGCTTCAAAGTGGCTGTGGAAAAGTTGCGTTGATTTACACACACAAGGGACCTTAACTCCATGCTCCTATGCTCTTTGAAGGCAGTAAGCGAGCACCTGGGAGTACAAAATCCACCATGCAAAGTGGCAGAAAGAGCAGGAGCATGGCACCTTGCTACCTACCCGCAGCCACCACCCAAAGGCTCACTCACCGACCGCCCTCCGCACCCTCGTGTGCTCAGCTCTGCCGTCCAGCAAGGTGGTCAGCCCCTCCACGCTGAAGGAGGCTGTCTGCCTCTCGCTGGCAAGGTCAGGATTCACGCCGCTGAGGCCGATGCCCTGTGCGTATTTGCTGGTGCCCAGCAGAGCCATCCTGACGGCTGGAAGTGATGGGGCTGGTTAGTCGTTGGCACACCTTTAATCAGCTGCACAGCGAAGAGTGGGTTTAACCCCAATGGATTGGCCCACGCTAGGGGCTGGTGCAGGCGGGTGGGCTGGCCCTGGGCATGGCTTGCACAGGGCCACTTTCTGCAACTATTGCAGAGCGCCGCAGTCAGCAAGATTAGGTGTACTTTGTACACAAACAGGCACGCTTCCATGCTGGTTTAAAAAAAGAAGCCCTGCCTTGTCCTTGTTGCAACGGGAGTGGAAAGAGAGAGCTTGGGGCGCTCCGAGACCTCAAAACACGTGTTGTATGGGCTTTTTATTTAACAAACTCTTCACTTTCATCACCTCGTCCTTTCCCAACGTTGTGAGAAGAGTCCAGACTTGCACGTTGCACAAATACGTGTTAACGGTGACGGCATTCCCAGCCCCTGCCCCGTCCCCTCCCCAGGATAAGCTGTGACCTTCCAGTGCCTGTTGCAGCTGGGGGTGTTAGTAGTAGCAACAACGCTGAGGGGAGGGAGCGTTACTAACAACAACAAGCATTAATAACAATAAAAATGCGATGGGGAGGAGCAGTTCCTTCTCTGGGCGGAGAGCTGCCTGCCTTGCCACGCATTTTTGGGGGGGCAATACCACAAAAAGTTGGATCTCTGAGGGCTTTGCACCGCCTCCCCCACTCCGCGCCCTGCCCCTCAGCCGCCCGGGCCTGCCGCCCCGCTCCCTGCCCGAGGCCGGCCATGGCCGCAGCCGCCCCCTACCTGCTCTCGGGGCCTGCCCGGCCGCGGCTGCCGGTGCTCCCGGGGCCGGGGCCCTCGTCGCCGGGGGAGGCAGCGCCCGCCCCTCTCGGGGCGTGTTGCCGAGGCCGGGGCCGGGCCCTGGCGGTGGGACGGCAGCTGCGGGGCTGCGGCGGGCTGGGCCTCGGGAGTAACGCGGCCTCTCTGCTCGGTGGGAACTGAGCGTGGCCCACACGAGCTGCTCGGCCACCTGCCCGTGACCCAGTGTCTTTATATATATACGTTTTTAATAAATAAAACTAAAATCGCACGAAGCACCCTTATTCTGGATGGAAAGCCAGCTACGCTGGCATGAAGAGGGGAATTTGCCACTTGCTTTGGGGACTTCTAGTTCCCTCTGTGATCCCAGTGACCTTCCTTGATTTAGCAGGGGTTAGATGTGGGTTGTGGTTGTTGCTAGAACTGCTGTAAAACGTTTATCAAATAACAAGGTGAGCTCGGTAGCATCAGGATTATTTTTCAGTCCAAAACTGAGTTTTTAAATTAAAGCCAAGGGCAACGTGTCTCCTTGGCATTGAGTTGTACCCTGCCAGGCGGGAGGGCGTGTTTGGCCAGTTCGAAATTAAACACATGGGAAGTTTTCGGTAAGAGAGCTTCCACACAAAGCCAGATCCTGCATTTTTGTGCCCTAAGGCTTTCAGCAGATTGAGATGAAGTTTAGGGCTAAGCAACGAATGCAGTGTTGGGTACAGATGGAAACAGCTTGTTGATGAGTAAGTTAACACAGCGCTGATGAACGAGTCACTGTCAGACTTAAGTGGTTTTTATGTTCAATCAGTTTATTTGGCTGTTGTCTGCTTGCATCCTTGGAGCCTTTTCAGTTCCTTGTGGAAAAGAGCAAAAAATACAACCAGTTTAGTTTGTTTCTTCAGAAGTGTCCACATTAAACAGAGCAGTGACAGTTAATGTAGTAGATACACAAATGTAGTATATACGCAAATGTATATAAATGTATAAACACCAACACAATATAAACTATATACCACATAGGAAACATAGTGCAAAAAATATATATATATCTTCCATCAATACCCTTATTATCTGTGCCTTCTGGATACATCACGTCTATTCAGGAACGCATTCTAGGGCCATAGAGCGTTAGACCTGAAATGCAGGAATTTGTTTAGGAGGAAACAACATACGAAGACATCTCAGGATCTCCTGACCATGTCCACACTGGTGTATTTTACATTCTGCTGGGATTTTTGGAGTCCAATGCTCCCTTGGTGCCCAGACAGTGCCACCTCTGTGTTGATTGTAGTGTGACGAATAAGAGTGCGAGGGAGGTGGCCATCAGTTCGTCCAGGCATGGAGAGCTCTTTTTGAGTGAGCTGTGGTTTTTAATCCAACTAAAACATCACTTCTGAAGTCTTGTCACAGGGGGGCTCAAGCATGGGGCGATGCATTGTATATGGAGCTTGGGGACAGCGCATGGGCTGCCCTACCCTCCCCGTGTCAGGGCTCTCCATTGACTCCACAGCTGGAAGGATCTCTTTTGGTGCTGTTAGCTTATTCTCAGCTAGGACAGTATGATTTGGCCCTCCCTTTCACTTCTGGACAACCAACTCCCTCTCAGCAGTGCCAGACTGCAAAGGTATGCGGCCCCTCTCCATGCTTGGTGAACACTGAGTTAAAGGAAGACACCTTGAGTTTTTCAGATAATATCCTCGTATTCAAGAAGACCATGGCAAAATACTTCCAACCTGCTCTGAGCACTCAGTTTGCCCAGGCTTCCCAACCAAGGACTTGCATAAGCGCCCCTGTTGCAGACGGGATGAGCCGATAGCACTGTTTTTGCCGGTGCATATGGAGTGACAGATTGTCTCTTCTGGAGCACATTTCCATCAGTGGCAAAATTACAAATTAATTTGCTTAATTTTTTGGAGCTCTTTGATCAAGGTTACTTGATCTGTGCCATAACCTCTCACAAAACAACAACTCAGTTTGTTATTTAAACTGATGTTATGGATGGAATATTATAAAGCATTTTCTACAGCTGTGTACAAGCATCCTAAGCAACACAATTTTATCTGTGAGAAATCTGGCTTTTTTTCCCCCCTGAAAAAATGCTCAATGCTGCTTCTCCCTCACAGTTTTTTTCATAGACTATGTGAAAAACTTTACTGTGGGAAAAGACAAAACAAATCCTTTCAGATCTTGTTTGACCCATAGTAACCATATGCACTGGATTTCTGAAATAAAAACCTGTTTAGAATAAGCATGTTGAGTGAGGGCCCGTGCTGTGAGGTGGGGCTCTTGAGGGCTGGAACTGGGTTAAGGGTTTTTTATAATGCAAGGCTGTCCAGAAGTCTTGTATCTGTATCACTTCTCTTGACGCATGATGTGGCTCAGATGTTTTACTCAAGTTGCCAGGTTGAGCAACAATCCACTGAAATGAAACGCCCTGCTGGACCAGAGAGACTAGGGAATGGATTAGTAACTTCTTATTAAACACCCCCTCTCCTTATTAAACACCCCCTCTCCTTAATAAACACCCCCTCTCCTTAATTTACGTATGGATCCACTGCAGATGTAGATGGTAGATAGTGTTAATCAGGTATCACCTTCCCAGCTGACTACAGCCATTGACTCTTGCCATTCAAGAACCAGTGTTGGAAGGCAGTCAGTGAGTTATGCTGTTCAGGCTTTGTAGCAGGGCTGTGTGAGAACCAAGAAGCTGAGATCTACCTGAAGGAGCAATTGTAGCTCTATATGTGGACACCTCAGGGCACAGGTGCCCCATAAATGTGGTGGCCTCTGTCCATACGTGGTGCAAAGGCACCATCTACTTCAGCTTTGCTCTACCAGCAGCAAGAAGATTTTTAGCCTTGCAGTGTGAGGCAGCACTGACCTCTGGAAGAAGGGATAAGAAGCACTGACAAGTGGCTTTGCAGCAGCATCCTTGTGCAGAGAGGCAAGAAGCAGTTTGTTGCTGCTGGCTCTGCTGCCTGGTCACCACATGCTTCCACTGACACCCATGCTGAAAGCTCCCGGCTTGTACTTTGTGCATGAAGCATTTTCCTCTCACTCAGGGATTTCATGGGATAGCCCAATATATCTTCTGCCTGAGCACAGAACTGGATAAATAGCTAAATAGCTGTTCACAAGCAGGTTTGAAATGCAACTTAAAGATGCTCATGAAAACAGTTGAACCTCACTGGCCGTTGCTGAGCTGGTGTGGGCACACAGGGGTTGATTTTTTTCATTGTTTAATGGCAGAGCTATGCTGCTGGGACACACAGCCTCAGCAAGGCTGGACTCATGTAGTGGCATGATGCCAGTAACTCTTGGGAAAGCCCTTACAGTCACCTGGGCTGTTCTCAGAGATTGTCCCTTGCGCTAACACACTGGCTTCCCAGAGTTACAGCTGCCCTCCTATTGTCCCCAGCTTGGTGAGCCCACCTTTGGGGAGATGTGGGGTCCCCCAAGCCTGTGGGGATGCCCATCCCTCCTTGCATGGTCACTGTGCCTCAAGGGTTAACCAAGAGTTAGCTGGAAGTTAGTGTGCATCCACAGTCTGGGAGGAAAGGGGCATTGCTTCTCTGTGCACCTCCTCGCCTGAGTACTTCTTCAGTGCATGCTGCACCTTTTCCACCATAAGACCTTCCTGGGATGAGAAAACCTTTTTGTGCCTTCTACTGGAGCAAGTGTTAATAACTGTAAGTAGCCCCAAAGATGCGGCTTTGAATGTCCACCATGTACAGAGATGTCAGCCTTGGTAGGATCTCCAGTGAGTTTTGGCAGAAGCTATGCTGCTTTCTCTTCCCCAGTCACTGTTGATGTTCTTCTCAGGTTTTCTTTTACTTTAATGAATTCTGGTGCATGGTCTTCCTCCTTCTCCTGCTCTTTCTCCAGCTGTAATAAAGAGGAGTCACCGTTATCTGTGTCTGCTACAGGACAGAAGTGCATTAGCTACATTAAAAGTCTGAGTTCATTATTGCTGGGTGTCCAGATATTATTGCCCAGAATTGAATAACTGTGTAAGTGCACATGGCAGTGCTCTCTTTTTCCAAACCATTAAGAGCCACATTCACCCGTAGCTTCTTTTTCTGGCCCACTGGAGCATCTATTTTTCCCTCCAGGGAGGAACCTCTCCAGCACGTAAGCAGGGATTGCCTCTCTGTAGAGCTGTCATGGCAGAGGGAGGAAGAGGTTTCAGTCCCTCTGGGTACAGGAGGCCTGTGAGCCTGGGGAATGTTCTCAGCTTTAGGTTATCATCTAAAGGGGAGTAACTCATTGTGCTGCTTCACTTCAGTGTGCAAAGCCTTTATGGCTCTGCCCCTAAACTGCCTTGTTTCGTATTCCTGATTCTTCTCTGAGAGGGTCAGGCTTTGATTTTCTGGTGGTCTTGGCTTGGCTGATATGATTAAAAGGGAGCTGTTGTGCCATTAATTAAATAAACCATTGACATCCATCTTTAGTGCAGATACTGACAAGTAGGACAGGGAATGAATTTATTTTCAGAGGCAGCAAGCTGACTGGCTGCTTGCAGCTATTTCAGTGGTGGACAAGCACAGAGAGCAACAGAGGACACCCCATGGGACCTGGAGGAGACGCAGGGCCAGGGACACATGGAGGTGACATGAGCTAGGCGGGTCTGATTGTGAGGACGAGGCAGTGCAGCTGCATAGGATGGCAGAGGGGTGCACCCTGGCTTTTGTTTTATGGAGGGGTGTCAGCGCTATTCCTTGAATTGAGCCGCAGCCAAGCCATTTCACGGGGTGGTTAGGATAACCTGGGGATGACTGACAACTTGGTTCTACCTGATCCAGCCTCTGGTGCCTCTTTAACAGCTCCTTTTCAAAGGGTGATTGCAATTTCTTTGCCTCTTCCTCTTCCTTCTTCTGTCTGAAGAGCTGGTTTCGCCGTCGGTGCTCAAGCACCCGCTGCAGCTCTGGCTTACTCTCCACACCCAAGCCTCTGTGGATCAAAAACAGATAAATCAGGGTTGGAGCTGCTGCACTGAGTATGACCCTGCCCTCCTGGCAGCCCCAAACCCTTCTCGCTCCTGACACCAAGGTGCCACAGCTTTCCGTGCAGGAATGGAAATTGCTGTTTCTTTGGCTTGCGCTGGTTTTAGCATTATTTATGTGGGTGACGGCTTCAGCCGCACTGAAGGAATTTTAAATAATGAAGATTTTTTTTTCCACCAGCAGGGGTAGTCATTGAACTGCAGTAATTGTCCTGGCAGCTCGCATCCCAGGTTTGCTTCAGAGCTGAGGGTTGAGCTGATTGCTGAGCGATCCCTGTTCACGTGGAGAGCTTGGGCCGAGAGGCCAGAAGGAGAAGTCCTCTCCTGAGGTGGGTACCCGGCTCCCCTTCATCCCCCAACACATCCCAAGCAAAGCTGCGTTCGTGGTGGGATCACTGGAAATGAGCTATGGCAAGGACATGAGCAAGGCTTAACTACCTGGCAAAGAGCTGAAAGGAGAACTCCAAACAAATTTCAGAAACTTAACTCTTTGAATGTTGCCATGCCTGAATTTAAGCACTAAGGTTTGTCTCCTCCATCTCACCCTGACCAATTTCTTACCAGCTTCTGCCCCCTAAAAGCAGCATGGATGTGGCCATGCAGGTAGTCAAAGCTTTGCTGGCTTCCGGGCAGACTCCATTGCAACTGCATGTTTTTTGTGTTGCAGAAGAACAGATTATTAAGAGATCAAGGTTGCTTTTAAACAGGTTATCTTCTGCAAGGGCAAGTGCAACATAAGTAATTTTGCAAGAAAATACAGAAGTAGATGTCGTTGGCTGAAGTAATGTTTTAAAGAGGAGTTGAAGACATTGTAGCTGTTGCGTGGGGAAGGACCAGACCCTGACCACTTTCCTGGTCTGGGTTTAACACTCGTTAAAATCAGGAGGCTGAGAATATTTCAGGTCCTAAAAGAACAGTCACAGGAGAGGTGTTGTAACATGGGGATGCCTGGGGTTCCTGCAGCAGAGATGGCTTTTTCAAGACTGGAGGCCTGCCTTGGGTTGCTGGAGGCACAGAGTTTGCAATGTTGTCTTTGGATTTATTACTGCTCTTTGGTTTAATCAGCCTGTGTTGTTAGTACCCAGAGGTGTTGACTAAGGTAAGGGTTTTGTTGCAGAAGCCGCTGCTGTGGGTTGCTTCCTGTTTCTGCCTAAGGGGAAAAAGCAAAGCAGAAATGGGAGCAAGCACTGATCCTTCTCTCTCCTCTCCTGCCCTCCACAGGACCATGCAGCAGAGAGCAAAGCTGTTGGATTTGCTGGTGACTTAAGGACATATATCGATGCTACTCTTCCATCCCTCTGGCAGACCTGTGCCAGCTCTCTGGCTGCTGTGAACCTGCACCAGTGCTGCCAGCATCAATCGTCCTGGGAGCTGGACTCGCCAAGAGAGACTTTAAACTGATCTGGCTCTGACCAGGCTCTAAGCTGGATGAGTAAAGGCTTGATCTCTTCCTGCTTTTAAACAAAAAATAAAATAAAAATCTTTGGTTAAACATATTTTATTAAAAATCCCAACAAGAAGAAACCAGCCCAGATGGATTGTTGTTTGCTGTGGGATTTGCTCCACACATTTGCTGAAAATCATTTGGGAGGCCAGAGCTGTAGCAGGCTTGAACTGCTGCCTCAGGCAGTGCCTATCCCTGAGCCATGCAGCACCAAAGGACAGGGGCTGGGGACACAGGGTGGCCGTGGTGGGGCTCCTGCCAGCTCCTGATGGCACGTGTGGGTACGCTATGGTGACAGGCACAGGGCTCAAGGCCAAAGTGCTGATGCCACTTGGCATTTGCCAGTTTGAGGTTTAGCCCAGTGCCCCACGTCTGCTGCTGCTCATCTCTGCTGCCTTCACTGCAGGAACATCTGGGTGCTTTGTTCCATGGGGGTTAAACTGGAATAATGTTCTGGGAGATCCAGGCTAAGGATGCTGGGTGAACCTTTAACTGGGCAGCATCACTAGGTGGGATATGGTTGCTGTCAAGACAGGGTTTTAAAAATACCTGGCTGGTTTAGTTGGCTCTGTCTTGATGCTGGAGAATGGCCTGGGCACGGTCCCTGTAATTTTTCTGCTTCTGTGAAAGTCAAATCCAAGCTGAGCCCAGGCAGTGCCAGAACTGGGTAATGCACCCTACTGGCAGGCGTGATTGTTTGCCCAATTAACGCATGTGTCTGGTTCTCGTGATGAGAGCAGTCATTTCGAACAGAGGCTCTGCTCCTTTTAATTAGGGAGTCAAAGTGTGATCATGTCAGAATATTTCATGGTGTTCAGATCATTTTAATATAAAGCCAGCAGATTTCTTGCTGTGCTAGACAGGCTCTAAACTGAGCATGCTTTTGTTGCACTTGGGTTCAGACACTTCCCACAAGGGGCTGATGTGGAGGTAGGTTCTCAGACCCTGGCGTCATTATCCTGATGTTGTATCCGTACCCCCAAACACTTAAATGGGGTGATGGGGTGGGGAATAAGGGATGTGAATACTAGCTGTATCTCTGCCCTAGGCACCTCTTGATTTATAGGGAAGCAGTGATTAGCCTTTTCCATGTACAAATAATCTCACAGCAATGCCCTCACACAGCTCCAGTAGCTGCATCCAGCCCGCACCTCTCACTGCCTCTGGGTTGAATGTAGAGGAGGGCTGCACATTGGGGTAGGCTTGGCAAGAGCTTTGGAAAGGTGGAGATGGCAGAGCAGGGGCCTTTAGCTTTGTTTTTGTTTAAAAATAAGCTGCCACATCAGCAAAAAGGGTTACCTCAGGTTTTACACCATGTTCACATGCAGGTTTATCCTGACCTTCCTGCATGCAGGCCGTCGCTGGCACTTGTGCCAGGGTTCAGCACCGCAGGCTGTGACCTCCTCTTACCTCTTGTGGTTCATCAGCAGCTCTCTGTGCAGCTCCTGGTGACTCTTCGAGGCTTTGACGGGGTTGAGGAGCTTTTTAGGTTTGATCAGGTCCGGGTTTCCATCTATGTAGTCTGGGTGAGTCAGGATATTCCTGCTGTCAGGATGCTCCCGCTGGATTTCTGTGTACATCGAGGCTGGAAGACAAGAAACAGAGGTGGCAGGAGAGGTGGCATCCGAGGGGTGTGGGAGCCCTCCGGTGCTCTCCTCCCTGGGCAGGTGGCTGTGCTAGGGCATTCTGCAAAGGTTTAAAAAATATTCCCTTTGCTGGGAATATATATATATATATATATATATATATATATATATAATATTCCCTTTGCGTTGTTGGAGAGACACATATTAATTAGATCACTTCTAAATGACTTGCCAGCCACTCGCTTCGGTGGCTGCAGCATTGAGTGCCAAGGACTAATTAACACAAGATCAGTCCAACTGAGGCTAGGAGCAGCCATACCGTGGGCTGTGCTGGGCTCTGCTCCTGCAGGGGGGGAAGCTGCAGGATTTGGGGGGTCCGAGGAATCACCAACATCAGATTTTGGTGACACCCTGCTGACCTAGAGGCCAGGACCCAGCCCAATGCCAAGGAAAGCATAGCTCACACGTGCAGTAACAATTTGTGTGTTCTGGATGTGAGAACAAGGGCCCGCAATTTTCTGAGTGGTGGCAGCTTGGATTTCAGGCAACCCACAGGGTATTCTTGCTGCTGGTATTTTCCAAGTTCTCTACACTTCTTCCTTACAAAAAAAAATCCCACACAACTATACAAAGGGAGCGCAAAGCACATTGTAAGACGGGATGCATGCAGCGGGCTGTGCTTTAAGTGCAGAGCTGACTGCAATTATTCCAGTGCATGGTCTAATCAGGGGCCCAGGAAAAGCAATTAATTCCTGACTATTCACTTGAGCAATTTGAGAGTTTACCCGTAAGAACAAAAAGTCCCAGAAAAAGGGTGTAGGCAGCTCCACAGCTCCAAGTGTTTCATTATTACAGTATTTTGGGGTACCTAGTGTGAGGCTATATGGATTGATGGAGCAGCAAGGAAAACAGCTTTTGTTCAGTAATATGGTCTCTCTCTCTTATCACAGTCTCATGTACAAAATGAATAAAACCCTTTTAAAAAAGAAATCAATAATAAAAAAAAGCACAAGAAAGCAGGCTATGCCATTCTTTCACAGTCAGTAAGTACTCAGCAAATGTAAAGTGGATTGCAATCAAACAGAATTGTGTAAGAAATAATACTGCTGAAGAAATGATTCAATATCAAACAACTTTTCATTGAATGTTAATGTGGCCAGTGCCCTGCTGCTTTGGGAACAAAGGAAAACAGATCAGAGCCCATTACATGAGTGTAATTGGGGTGAATAGTTCGGTACGTATTCAAAGGGTGCTTGGAAGCTGGGACCAGTGATTTCTTGTACCGGGTTATGTTCCCATAGGATCACACGTGGCTGCTGGCAGCAGGGAAGGAGCAGAGTTTTGCTGACTGATGGAAGCACCAGGCTGGATCTCACCCTGCTGCGGCCGGTGCGCGGGCTGGAGAGATGCAGAGCTGCAGAGCAGCCAGAGGTTAAGGCAACACCATCTGATGGCTGATTTTTGTTACATGAAAGATGGTTTTTGAACAGTGGAGAGCACACGGGGTTTTTAACCGGGGTAAAATTACCGCGGCTTGTTCTCCTAATTCTTCCCTTTAGGGGGGTCTTCTTTTCCATAGGAAAGGAGGCGGACAAAGGACAAGAAAGGAAGGTACAAAAGCAAAGGTTTGTTTTGGTGTGAATGAAATAGATGAGCTTCCATTTCCAGTGACAAAGTGGTGGCTTTATTCTTCTAACAAAACAAGTAAATTTCAAAGAATGCCAAGGGTTTTTAATAGGAGCACCACTGTTGGTCAGCTGTCTGCACAACAGGGTTTTAATCTGGAATCACCCCCAGGATGATCAGGGACCCCCCTGCCCTGGGGGCTGCCTGGTTTTGCAGAATTTTGGGGCAGTGCCATGGTGAGCCTGGAGGTTTTGAATTGGAGAACGTGGCTATTTATATGTGCTGCATGGCTGAGGTTTGTGAAAAGCAGCAGTGAAAAAAAAACATCAACCTATTTACCAGAGGTAGATGGAGGGATTTTCTCTGAAACTGGTGCAACTGGAGATGTTGGGAAGGAAGGAGTGGGAGGCACTGAGGTAGGCTGGAAGTGTTTCTGCCCAGGTGGCTGGTAAATGAGCATGCAGAAGTCCTTTCAAGGCGTGTAATTTGCCTGAGCAGAACAATGCTGCGGGGGCCAGGACACCACAGGAAGCTTTTAGGTTGGTTGTCGCTGTGCTGGATGTGCCCAGGGGCATGTAGGCGCCCACACAATGATTTGTCTCACTCTGCTGTGTGCTGAGGTTGCTGGAAGGAGCCACGAACCTCCCTCCAGGAACTGCACTTTAAGTCACCATAAGACCTTAGTGTGGAAAAATTTAAGGAATGTCTGTATTTGCATTGACCATTAAAACATAAAAACAAAAACAAACCAAAACATTGCAACCTGAAGCACAGCTTGGGGTTATGCTGGGAGTAAGGACAGGACATTCTTTCTGCAAGCAAAAAGGGATCCTGGGCAGAATGTTCCTCCTGCAGCAGATCTATCATTGAGACCTGATGTAATTCATACCCGTGTATGGGGAGACAGACTGCTATCAGACTGTGTTTTGTCATTATTTATAGTGCTGGAGGTGTAAATCAAACCAGGTCTCTGCGGTGGATTTACAGCAGGATGTCTGTTTTTGCATGATTCGGCCGTAGATCAATGAACAAGCCTCAGCTCTGGCACCTCCTGGGCCACCACCATAAATCGGCGATAGGTGTTAGACATTTTTATATTGTTCTTGGCAAGATATAAACAACAACAACAAAAAAGCATGTGCATTTTTGACACCCTCTGCTGTACTCGGAAAGACAGTGTGACCTTTCAAATAGATCTGCTTTGGACTGTGGCTTTTAAAAAGTAGCTGTGTTTGCTTCAATGAATTTAGTGTTTTGCTTGCTTTTAAATATTTTCCCCTTCCTCATTTCTTGAAGCCCAAGGCTTTCTAGGAAAGCTGCATTTCCAAGTGACTTTCTGTATGTACAAAGCAGGTTTTTGGATGATGAGGCCGGGGCTGCTGGCACATCTCTGGACTTCAGGCATGGTGCAGCTCCTCTCCTAGCAGTGGCTATGAAATGAGCTCCCAGCCTTCATCTGCCTCCTGGGAGACCCCACAGGAGACACTCAGCATCTCAGAGGTGCTGAAAACCCAGCACCCCCTTCCCTGGCCTGTGCCTGGTTGTGGGACTGCCTGGAGGAAAATTATTTTATAATAGCTTGGTCTGCTCTGACTTAAAGCAAAGCTCAGGTTCCTGGAAATCCTTATAAATCCCCCAGTTCCTGGGAGACTTTTGATAAAATTGTGAGTCTGCAATTCTGGCCCAAATTCTTTCCACTTCTGATTATGCTTGGCCTCAATCTTTTGGGAGACAGCATAACAGTTTTGGAGAGACATTAAATGCCTTTGAAAACCTGAATGTCACAAATAACACCTTAAATATACCCTCAAGGGGTATAAAGTGTGGTGTGTTGCTTGGGGCACCGGGAGGACAAAGCTCTGAGCCTGCTCCTGCAGAGGACAGGGATGCTCGTGCCCAGGGGCTGGTAAAGCTGCTGGGGCTGAGCTGCGTTTCCCTTGCTGCTGTATTTGGGATCAGGGCTTGGAGATGTCCTCCACAAAGCATTTATTTAGGATTTAATGACTTGTCTCTGCGAGGCTGCCCCTCTGTGTTGCGGCTACACAGTCTGTGCTGCTCCCAGCCGCCAGGATGAAAATAATCCCCAGGAATGTTGTAAGGGGATTATCAGCCCCGGGCAGGGCTGGCAACCAGGGTGCTGCTCTGGCTGCCCAGCTCCAGCCGCCCTTCCCAGGGGGAAAGAACAGAAGGGATTGGAGAGAAAATTGAGTGTTTCCAGTCAATGAGTCTCCACCGTCTGAAGTGTTTGCAGACTTATTTCTGCTGAGAACTGATTTCCCAACAAGAGCGTCTAGGGAGAGCTTTTCCAATAGTGGCAGAAAATGGCCAAACTGCTCTTGTTAAAAATATTTTATGGGAATACCTTTCTGGGCAGAGAGTGAGCCTCCGTGAAATGTCATCCACATAAAAATAGGCAGAAGGCATTATTCGGGGAATGGGAGCCAGGGCCAGATGTGGTTATTGCTTGTAATTCCGTGAAACCCTGGTAATTGGTGGAAGAGATGAAATGGGGGAATAATGTGGATTTAAGCTCACAGCCCCAGGTCTGGGTTTGCAGAACCACTGACCTGAGGTTTCCTGGGCAGAAATGGTCACTTAAAATTGTAGCCTCTGGTTTTCTAAGTGCCTGGCATTTGTTCATGATTTTTTTTTTTAAAGAACTAGCAGATTAATGACGGGCTGCTGAAAGAAGCTGGTCACACGCATCCTGCAAGGAATGGGGCTGCAAACCATCGTGCTTAATACCGATCGGTAAAGCTAGTTTCAAGCTATTTGCATGAATAATAGGAACTGCAAAATAATTTGAGTTCATGACACATCTGCCTGCAACAGTGGGAAATCTTCTCTATTCTGGAGATTTTTTGCCATTCCCAAGAACTTGGTGTTTCTGTTCTGAACTGCCACGGAGTGGTGTCTGCCAGGGAGCAAGCACAAGATGCAGCAGCTTCCTGCAGTGCCGCCAGCTGCCCCAGCACCCAGCTCATCTCCTTTAAAAGCCTCATCTCACAGAAATGTAGCATTTTCTAAAAAACAAAACTCCAAACAAAAGTTTCTTCATGTTACTGGGATCTTGTTAGGTACATCAGTGCAGAATAGTTTGTGATATGATTGATCTGGGAGAAACTTTTCAAAATGGGGAAGAATTCAATAAATAAATACATAAATATTTATAATATACATTAAAAAATACATATTTTTTTTGTGGATGAGCCCACAGTGGGAAGAAATGGAGCATGGGGAAGATTTCTGAGCTGGATTCAGGGGTACAAAGATCTTGGGGTCTGCAGGTATTTTTTATTTTTCCAGGATCTAAGCCCCTTTTCATGGCCATGGCTGCCCTGGTGTTTCCACACCACGGGCTCATCCTGTTCGCTCTCTGGGGAGCCCTCCTCTCCTGAGGATAAGGTTTCCAATCCTTCCTCCCCTCAGGCAGCCCTTGGGAGCTCCTGATCCACTTCTTGCTTTAAGGATTATAAACACGGTTATAAACAATGACTGTTTGTGGTCAGAACATTTCCATGTTTAAGGTGGAGTTGGAGTTTGGCCCTGTGGCCTCTCCCACTGCAGTGTCACAGCAGAAGAGGTCATGTATGTTCAGTCCTACAAAGAACTACGATGGAAGCTGGTCTTTCATATCGGATTCTTGAATTCTTGGCAGTGCCAACTTGCATGACTTTCCTGATGTTAATAAATAGTGCTTTATGAAGGCAGAATAGCTGGGACTGGGGGGACTCTAGAGCTGCCCTCATCCATGTGGGCTTCAAGCAGCTTGTCCTGGACTTACAAGCTGAGAGATGAATTCTTGCTGGGGCAGACCTCAGCAACACACTGGCAGCGCCAGACACCGGCTGCCGTGTGTCTCAGCATCCATACATGTGGTGCAGACACCGGGTCAAACAGAGCAGCTGGGAGCAGGAACTTTGACAGGTGGTGGTATATTGGAAAGCAGGAGTTGCTTGGGCTCCCCTTCCAAACTCACAGGTGGCCTGGTGACGTGCTGTCTGCTCTAACAGCACCCCAGGGAGGAAGGCTCTCGGGATACCCGTGTGTTTCTGCTGGCTCAGCATTTCCCTTGCACATTTACAAGTAAGAAACACAGTGGGGTTGTGCCCGCCTTGCAAACCTGAGAGGCACAAACACCCGACCCGTCTTGCTGTTATGCCCCGAGCAAAACACCAGTCCTGCCATCACATTAATGACTGCCACGGCTTCCGGCCCTGGTGATGGAGAATAATAATAATAATAACACGGCAAGCCCAAAGCTTGGCAGATGCTGCTTGTTATCCTCCCCATCCTCATTGTGGTTTTCCTCTCCCCTGGTTCCTGTGGGGTTGGCAGCTCGGGAGCCTCTCTTCCCAGGGGCCTGGCACACTCCCCTTGCCTGTCACTGGGCGACTGCGTCTCCGATGAATGATACGCGTGCTCCAGAAAGGAGGCAAAGAGCCTTTGTCTGCTTTTAATCTATGCTTTTAAATAATTAAGCCAGCCTAATTCTGGTATTTATAATGCAATGAGGCAAATGTAACTTGATGTGGCTGCTCTGGGAAATGGGTCCCAGCTATGGGGTAGCTCCTCAGGGCAGAAGGTGCTCACCACAGGGCGGCTCAGCACTGAAATTCAGAAATTAACCCCACAGGGTTGCAGGGTGAGAAAGGGAAAGACCACCGTAATGGAGGTGTAAGAGCAGTGCTTAGTGATGAGCGGCTTTGTAGGGAAAGCAGCAACGTGCCAGCATTTCTGACCCTTCCTCCTGTGAGGGGAGCGAGGGGTTTGGCCCTGCTGTGTCTGTGCTCGCTCTGTCCCTGCTTCCTGCCACCGGTCTCTGCAGATTTTATCATTCTGAGGATGCCAACAGGGACAACAAGGCCCTATGTGTCCTGGCCCTGCTTCCCCACAGCACCATCCTGCCTCTGCCCCTGCCCCTGCCCACCCAGGGGATGGGGCTGCCACCAGTAAACCCAGTGCCACCACCAGTACAGCCACTGCTCCTCCCAGTCCAACCAGTGCCCCCAGTCCCACCCACTCCTGCTGAGCACCTGTCACCAGCTACAACCACCCCACAGAGGCCCCATAGGAAAGGACCCCAAGAGAGAGATCCTGGCTAGCTGGGGCAAGCCGAGCCCTCTGGTGCTTGAAAGTTTCTGCATGGGCTTGGGCTGGCTGAGGGTGGAAATGCTCGTAGTGTTTAGGCAGCAGCAGCCTCCTCTCTTGCTGGAGACAGGCGGGACTGGGCATATTGGTTAATAATTTCATTTAATTACCTTGGACTGTGATAAGCAAGGGTGCTGAGGCAGGGATCCCACTCTGTTAACAATTACCAAGGAAAGCCTGCCCATGCCTTTCGCAAGCAGCATGTGTAACGGCTCGATTAGTTTTGTAAAGCAGTGACAGATGCTCAGCAGTCCTTGATAATGTCGCAAACTTGCTTTTAATATATCATCAAATATTTGCTCTGTGCATTTGCCAACCTATGTAGAGACACGCATCAATCATTAATGAATATTTTAAGGTAGCTCAAAGGTATTTTGTGGAATGCAGAGAAAATCATTTCACTTTGAACCGTAGGGATTACACTAGCAAGTACCCCCTGCCCAGCCTAATTCCTCCCCAGGAACATCGAACTGTAGCATGGGTTCTCCTGGGGAACTCCCTGTGGGATATGGGTTTGTTTTGGAAGGGAAGCTTCTGAAGTGCCACTGCAGAACTACAGAAACATGATATCCCAAACCAAACTTAAAGCAGGGTCCAAAGTCACCTGTGCACAGACAGGCACGCGGTGCAGAACATCCGCATGGGAGCTCAGCAGCCCGTGCCCAGCAAGTGCAGGTAGGGGACACGGGGACGTGGGGACCCCCGGGACAGCTTGGGGGCCCTGGGCTTACCTGATTTCTGTAGCGTGGCCCTGGGGAGCCCGGTGGCCCCGTACTGCCCCGTGTCCCACGACATGGGGCTGCTGCTTCTGCCCGCCTGCACTCCCGCTGATGAACTTTTAGGTCGGGTCCCACAAAGCTCCTGCCTCGTCTCTCTGGTGGGGGTGAGGACGGAGGCTCCTGTTGAGGCTGCCTTCCTGCCACCCTGCAGGGACCCCACGGACCCCCAAAACTTGCTCCTTTTGCTTTTCGTTGCCGGATGATGTTTTCTCAGGCGTGAGGAACAAGCTAATTGATTTTCCCCCCCCGCAAAGAAAACAGCTCCCCGCCTGCCCAGGTGCCTGAGCGCACCGAGAGGTTGCGTCCCTGCTCCACGGAGGGTGATTTCTCCTGAGTGTGCCTTAACCACGCTCCCGGAGAAATCAGATCGGCCCAGAGGAAGCCGCACGCCCACTCTCTTTAGCAAGCACTGCAACAGCAAAGCCCGGCACCAGGGCAACCGTTCGTGTTATCGTGATCATTCCCAGTGCGTTGCAACACCCGCTGCGCACCAGCACTGCGCTGTCCCAGGGGCAAGGGCATGGGGGGGAGGCGCAGGGGCTGAGCAGCCTGGTTCTGCTGCCCAGAGCTTGTCCTGGCCTGGGGAGCCTGAGGCTGTGGAGATGGTGGGGGGAGAAGGAGCTGAAGTGCCCCAGTGGTTCCTTTAGGCTCTCAGCTGCGTGCTGCCCATCGCCCCATGTCCACTGTCAGTCTGGGCTTGCAGAAGCTCACCCAGTGTTTCTGTCCAGCACTGTTGGTGGTGCTGGCTGTGTGCAGGGCCCCCCAGCTCATTTTGCCAACCCCCCTGTGCAGCAGCGTGTGCTGCAGGAGCTCCGACACTCACCCGAGCCACCACTCACGGGCTTCCCACTGCCACCGGCACACCTGGGCTGGAGGGAATATTCCTTCTGGAAGAAAAGAGAGAGAAGGAAATGGGGAAGGACTGTCTGGGTATTACCCAGTAACAGAGAGTGAAATGTAGGAAGGGCTAATGGAGACTTTAAAAATCTCTGTATTTTTAACCTCCTTTCATTTCATTGACACAGAGACTCAAAGCAGGAGCAGAGCATCCTGCTGGCCCATGTTCCCCTCTGTGTGTGTATGTGCAGATGAGAACTTGCATGCATCCCCACCACCTGTGGACTGTATTTTAGAGGTCACTGAGAGCCTTTGCCTCCAAATGTGTGTTGCGGCTGTGGGGGGGTCACAGAGCAGAGGCTGTACTGGTTGCACAAGCTGCCCAAGCTGCAGCCTGCCATACAGCCCATGACATTCAGGGCCGAGCCGATTCCCCAACACCAACCCCAGCCCTGGAGCCTGACTCTTTGCTTGCATGCTTCAAAATACCACGGCTTGATTTCTAGTCAAAGAAGGGCTGGCTGCACATCTGTCCTGCTCTTGTGTCACTGCTCAACAGGAAAAGGGCAGGTGCTGAGCTTTGGGTCCACGAGTTTGCTGGAGATGTGGCAAAGGGGGAAAAAAAGCATCATGTTAAGCTTGCTTTCAGCTCCCAGATGAGAGCGGTTGTGGCTGGTGGATGTGGGGAAGGAAGGACCAGCATTCAGCTGAGTAAATCAACCTGAAGAAAGACAAGTTTTCTGCTACCTCCCAGTGCTGACCAGCTGCCACGCTTGGGCTCTGCTTTGCTGGCAGTGGGTCGTGGGGGTTCAGGACCTACCATGCTGAACCTGAGGCAGTCTGATGGCAAAGCTGTTTTCCTAGGCATTCCTTGCACAGTGACTCTCTCTGCTATCTAAATTAGTCGGCAATTTTAACCTCTGCTGCTGAGTCTCTGGGATTCACAAGAAGGCTTTGTATTCCTCTGTAGCTCCCTGAAGGCTATTGTGTCAAGGCAGTCGACTGCAGGGTGATATTAATCTGGCTCCTCCAGACACCCAGCTGCCTCGATCGAGGCCTCATTTCTTATGAAATGGCTTCATGTCCCAGCATGGGGTGACAAAGAGAGCTCGTCCGTGCACCACTCTTTCTGGGAGGTGTCACCACACAACCTGCTTGCGTGGACACGTCCCCTGGGCCTGCTCTTATTAAAAAAATCCCAGATATGCCAAGTGAGTACCTAGCACTGGCTCCTCTGTGCCTGGGCCCTGCAGACAGCCCAAGGGGAGTGCAGTGCCAGGGCTGTGTCGTTATCAAATCTCCACTCCCAGGTCATGATGGGGAGTGTGGGTGGCAGGGAGTGCTGCTGCTGGTTGTAGTTGGGCTCCCTGCCCACGGACAGACTTCTGGACCCGCTGCAGTCACCCAGGGCTGGGTCAACCGCTTCACCCTCCTGCTGCAGAATGGACACCTCCCACTTCAGGTGGAGTTAGCCTGGCTGTAAGTGGGGCTAAATGCAATAAAGCAATGTAAATAATAAGTATCATCGTACTGTGTTTTATGGTTTTATTGTACACCCAAACTTCCTGTGTATCACCCTGACCCCAGTGCATGCCAAAGCTCTCCTAAAGCAATGGAATGCCTACAGGTGGCATTTCCTCAGGTGCAGGCTGCTTTGAACCACTGGCTCTGAGCAGGAATCCTCCTCCCTGGCTCCTGCTGAGGGGTGTGATGCTCTCCTGCAGCTTGAGGCCAGCCTCCCTGAATGAACTTGTTCTACACGTGGATGCTCTGATATCTACTCGCAGCAAAGGTGATAGCTGGTAATTTTGGGTCATGTTTGTGCTTTGTTGAAAGCAGTCAGAGAAAATTGCCCTCATCCTGGAAAGGGAGAGGAGGATGGCTTCAGGCAGGTTCAGATTGATACAGGTGCCATTAAGGTGCAGCATCACAGCATCTATGTTGCACAGTGGCCAAAGTCTGAGCTAACGAATTAGGCAAGAAATTGCTTCAATCCGATCATGGTGTATAAGACGTATTAACGCAGGCGAAATGCCACCCAGGCTGAGAAGTGATCTGCATCTACCGGAGACCTGGTTCTGGGAGGAAGCAGCAGGGCTGGAAGTTGCCCAAGCTGCTGGTGAGTCGGTGAGCTCGGAGAGAGGTGCTCTGTCTGTATGGTGTAAGAGCAGTTGCTGACACCGGTTCAATGAATGAACACATCTGTTGATTCGCTGGTCTCATTGCTAAGCCCAGAGGCTTTGAAGGAAGTTGTGATGACCTGAAACAACGCATTGCGAGCTGGCAGATCAAAGCCAGCGTTTCTGTCTCTGATGAAGCCACAAAACATGAGATGCAGAGATAGGCTGAATTGCACCCTATCTCTGCTTTCTATCAGCCCCAAATGCCCTCTGCTTGCTGCTCCCAGTGCTCCTTATGAAAATGTCTCCAACATGCTCCTGGACACTGGGAGATTGTGTAAGCTGTTGCCCATATCTCTTAGATTACTTCTGAATTCTGCTCTATCTGCGTTCATTTGCAGCAGCTGGGACTGATCCAGACCTTGGTGAAATCATCCACTGGAAGAAACTTCTGAGGATTAGTAAGATTTTTTCCCATCTGTGATGTAAATGCACAAAAATCTGTCAGGCTGATTGTTTTGCTGCAAAGTCCTGCCATGTGAGGTGCTGAGGCTGATTGCATCCAGCAAGCTGGTGCACATGCTTGCTGAGACAATTGACAATTTTTTTAAAATTTATTTTATTTTATTATTTTTTTTTAAGGAGAATCAAAAAGAAAAAGAGCAGCATGTCCTAAAAAGGGCAATGTGTCCTAACACCTAGCATCACAGCTAGCTTTCCACTGGCTCTGCCCTGAGGAAGTGCTGGAGTTCGAGCTCCTCTGCCTCACAGGGGCAGAGTGATGCTTGGCGGGGAGCTTGGCTCTGCCCATCCTCTGCTCCAGCCCACTGTGGCACAACGCTCTTTTGGCAGGGTTTGCAATGGGGACTGGCAGGCACCCAGGTGTCAGTGTCCGGGTGCATCCCAGCTCTCCCAAGCCAGCAGCTGAGAGCCACTGAACTGCCCATGTCATGGCAGGGCTCTGTGCTAAGCGTGGGGAGCTCAGAGCCTGGATGAAAAACCTGCCTGCACGGGCTGTGGCCCCTCTGAGCTGCACCCTGCCGCCCTTGTCCTGGTCAGCACACGCCTGCCTGCCCACAGGTGAACAGGTTTGCCAAGCCAGGCTGTGAGCTTGCATTACTCCTGGTCCCTGGCCATGGCCATGCCTGTTCTCACTATCATGTTGCAAAGGGCTTTAAGAAAGATCAAGTTATTGGTGTTACATTTCATTCCTGGGCTTTTGACCTGTGCAAATCTGCAGCATTTCTTGGGTTGGATCAGAGCTGGAAGCGGATATGTACAGACACTCTCAGGAGGGAGAGCAGCAGCCTTGGGGCTGTGGGGACACCCGTGGTTTGTGACTTGAGTTTATGGGAGGCAGCCAGATCTGACCCTGCTGTTCCCATGCTGCTCATGGGGTGTGCTGGCCAGGTGGCCACTCTGCTGCTGAGTTGAGTGGAAAATTTCAAATGCCTCGAATAGCGCTTCGTGTTATTTTATTCATAAAGACAACACAATTTGACACAGACGAATGCTGCGCTGACCTTTGTGTGCCTGTCACAAACACCGCTGGCTGGGCCGGTCCCAGAAGGCAGGCCCAGCCCTCCCGCAGCGGGGGGAAGTGGTGAAACAAGGCCGGTTTCAGGGGCTGCCCACAAACAGGGCGCCAGGAGCTAATGTGGGCCAGCAGCAGCCTGGGAGCAAGGCCCTGCTCCTGCCAGGCCTCAGCCGAGCATTTCCTGCAGGTTAATGAGCACGAGCAGTGGCCAGGCTCAGGCCCCTGAAGGGCACAGGGAAGCTCCCGGCATCTCCCCAGCACAAACGGGAGCCGTGTGGCCATCCACCCATCGGCATGGTGCCCCCAGACCTGATGCTTTGCCTTGGCCCTGAGGCACACGTCCCCTGAAGCTGAGAGCTCTTTGCTCTGGGGTCTTACCATGCGCAGAGCCTGGTTCCAACCCATCTGAGTGCTGTTAGCAGCACTTCTGCTGTAACAAACCATTATTTTAACCTGTCTCAAGAGCTTATTTTTGCCCCGTGCAGTAGGTTTGGTTCCACTGATGATGTGGAGGACCAGGCTGCTATTTCTGGGGACTCTGCTGACTGCACGGGGAGAGCATCAGTCACTGGCACAAAGGGGCTCCGACAGCTTCGGAACGAATTGCTGTCATGCTGCAGAGAGACCATTAAGAAACGCTAAAAAGCCTTGAAGAATGGGGTTTTTCAGAGAGTGAGGCTTATGCCACATGAGTGACAGGGACAACATTTACTTGTGGTGCCGTGCCAGCTGCAGTGGCATTGTTTCTCTGTGTCACACCCAGGCACTGCAGGTTAGGGGCCAAGGACAGTGCTGTGACCCCTTAGCTTGGGAAAACGGGGTTTGTAAGGAACAGGGGCAGGAGGGAAGGGGCCACAAGGGAGGAGGTTTGGCTGCTACCTGCAACAATGGCAGATGCCACCCGCTGGGCTGCAAACGGAGGAGGCAGCGGGTGAAGAGGCGAAATGTCCCTGTTATCGCAGGCGTTATGAGAAAGCAGCAGGTGCTGCTCGAGCGAACCCCCTGGAGCATAGGGAAGCAGCAAAGTAGCGAAGCCTTTAATTGCTTTAATCCATTTCTATTTGAGGACCACTGAGCCATCCCGAACCTGGCAGCTGCTGCATTTCCACACAGAGATCTTCCCGGTCTCCTCCCTCCGCGCTGCGTTGCGTGCCCCAAATCATGCTGAGCTCCTCTGCAGCTCAAGCTGGTCCTGGAGATGGTGAGCACCACTGTGCCAGCCACCACCACTGCCAGACAAGTCTTTCTGTATTTTTTTATTGG